TATATATATATATATATATATATATAAACCACTACATACTACTTGTACTACTATTCCTACTTTGCGGTTTTTCACTTATCGTGGGGCATCAGGGTACAGATCTCCCATGATAAACGAGAGACTACTGTATATATATTAAGGTGTTTTAAACCCTTCCCACACTCTTGCAATATTCTAAACAATGTTTGTAAACTGTAAATGCTCTAAACGAGCACAGAATGTCATGATTTCAGCTCTGTACCTCCGGCTGCACTCTCAACCACGCCCATTTTTCTGATCTGCACGGAGATCAGCTGATCAGCTGCAGGAGGAAGGTTCTCCCACAGCTGTGGGCTGCACACAGGTGCTAAATCAAATCAAAATCTTTTAGACTGTACCCCTGGGTACAGTCTGTGGTACAGAATACAGTCAATAGTCTTGTCCTGCTCCAAAATTTTCAGGCAATCTATCAACATCTTCTTGTAACCACTTCCTGGATCTCTTTTCAGCGGTTCATAAGTGGTTTAATCACTAAGGAGTGTCATAACTTTTGTGTTGTTACTGGAATACTGAAAACAGCTCCTCAGACTGAAGAAGTCTTTCGGACGAAAGACGAAACGTTTCTTCAGTTTTTTGTTTTTTGAACCTGTACAGAGGACCTGACTTAACTTTTTTAGATTTTTCTACCTGGATTATTGAGCATGCATCAGGATACAATTGAAAGTGTTCATAAAAATTAAAGTGGATAAAAAAATAAACTGAAAATGTCATTTCTTCAGTCACCAGCACACCTGAAAATGAAAGTTTAATTTCCTCTGACGGAGTTATTTAGGATAATATTAATGTAAATATTCAAAACAAAACATTCTGTTTCTTAGCTTCATCAAACGCAGCTCACTGATCGTACCTGAGGTTTGATTCCTGTCAGAAACCTTCCAGACACAAAGCCCCCGGCACCGGGGGACGGGTCGTATGGCTGAAAGCACGGCAGGAATTTCCCAGAAGGCATCAGTGGAGGCCGACGGCCTTCCAACTCGATCTGACCCAGCAGACACGAGATCTGAAACAAAACAAAACGTCAGTCCTGTCAGAACCCAACCATTCACATCTAGTAGCCATCTACAACAGGTAAGATAGTGTTTTTAAGGTGGAGGTACCTGCATGGTGTTGACTGTAGAGCCCTTGGCTCCTGACTGGACCATGAGCTGCAGGTTGTTGTCTGGAAAAGACGTGTGCAGTCCCACTGGCATACACACCTTCAAACACAGAAAAACTTTGAGGAAAGCTTGAAACAACAGAACAAAATGACTGAGGCAGCTCCCTCCATCCATCCGTCTGTCCATCCATCCGTCTGTCCATCCATCCATCCATCCATCCATCCAACTATAAATGGATATATGGACATCCTGTTTGATATCGAAACATGAGGTCCTCAATAGTTATAAAGCTGCAACAATGAATGTGTTGGCAACCAATTTCATTATCAATTCGTTGTGTTGCGCGATTAAGCATCTCTCACGGCGCTGCGGAGCTGTTTTGTTCACCTGCAGAGCATTGTCAATGCTGGCTGACTGAATAAAGTTAACAAAAAAAAAACCTCTGCAGCGCGAGTTGAACAGAGCGAGGGGGAAGCAGAGCAGAGGGTGTTTTCAAAGGAAATTAAATAAATTTTACAAATGGCCGACGCAGAGAAAACTGTTTGACCCAAGTCATTCAAAGTGTGGGAGCACTTGACGCTTCACAAAGATAAAAACTGAAACATGCAGCTTTGAAAAGTGATGACACAACACCACCACGTTGATGAAACGTAAACATGTCGGAGTCATAAACTAACTTCACCGCGGTGTGGATGAAGGAGCAGCAGCAGTAAGTATCTACAATATTCTACATTCGTTCTGTTTCCAAGTGAAAAAACAACGTCAGTCTCTCTGTAGCTGAAGCTGCTGCTTGTTTATCTGATTCATGACGTGATGGAGAGCGTGTGTTTTTATTTCAGTTTAATTGGTACAAGCAGTGTTTAAATGTGATTTATAAATAAATCTAACACAAAGATGGTCATAATTTAATGATTAAGCTTCAATTTTTAATTTGCTGGCAAAGTCTGAAGACAATGCAGGTATGGAAGGATGAATTGCATTTAAACAGGAATTAAAGTAATTTATTTCATCTACTCAAATGTGTGTAATTAAGTATTTTATGTGTGTGTGTGTGTGCGCGCACGCGTGTGTATGTTTAATTGCTCTATGAGCTACTTTTGCCTTAACCCATTCCTTCTCAAATAGTGGGGCGCGTCCCCCCCCGGAAGCAATGCCAGGGGGGCGCATGTGACCCCGGGGAACATTTTGCGACAGGTAGTAAGTTTTTTTTGGTTTTTTTTTTCACTGTTCTCATTGTGTCAGGGTGTGTTAGGCAACTGTTTGCTAAAATCCGGCAACTCTCAGTCTTACTAATAAAGTAATGACAAATATGACCGTCTTGTCATTTGGGGAGCCATGTTTGAACCGTGTCGCTTCCCTCTGCTGCTGCTGAGAAACTCAGCAGGTGACGCTTGTCACCCACAGCACGCATGCGACAGAGTAACCTCAAAGCAAGAGCATTACCTGCCCCTCTTCCTCTTTATCAATGTTTTTTTTTAAATACAGAAGTCATGTTTAATAAATGTTAGGACTCTATTCTTTGTTAACAAGTCCTCATTTCGCCCGCGGCCGGGCCACAGCGCGCAGCAACAAAGAGTATAAACTCAAAGCGAGAGTGACACCTGTCCCCTCTTTCTTCTTTCAAGTTGACAAATTTTTTTAGTTTTATCGATTGTCAAAGCACAAGTTTGATGTTTTATTTGTTGCAAAAACAAATGTTTAACAAATGTTAGGACTCTATTCTTTGCTAACAAAATATATTTTATGTCATTAAACAACTTGTCAAGTTCTTCTCTTGTGAGCGCGTTCCCAGTGGGGGCGGGGGAGTTCATGAGGGAAGAGGCAACGTGAGTGCTGCCTTTAGCTTTTAGCTAGAGAGCCTGTATTTCGTGTGGCTAGCTTAGGGTCAGTGCCGTGTGTGTTTGTGTGTGTGTGTGTGTGTGTGTGTGTGTGTGTGTGTGGGGGGGTTTGGTTTGGTAGGCGGGGTGCTCAGTTCCGTTGACGGGATGGGGCACCCCGCTTGTGTAATTGTGGGGGAAACACTGTATTTAATTTGATTGTTCAGTATCAAATGGTCACAAATGTTTACAGTTTAAATAGGGATATAAGTGTTTTTATTTCAGACAAATTGATGCACTTTAAGCCTTTTCTGTTACAGAAACAATGTTAATAATCTTTGTTGTAAGTTGATCTATATTTCTTTCTTTTTTAATTTGATGTTAATAAGGACTAGGGGTTGAACGAGTATATAATTTTTAAACTCGACATTAACCTCATAAAACCCGAGTAGAACTCGAGTATTTGATGATGTCATAGATCTCAAGATAAAAAAATAAATAAAACCGCAAAAAAGGTAATTATTTACAAAACAAAGACCAACAAAACATTGGGAGCGAATATTATGCGCCTACCATTTATCATACTGCAAATAAGTCAAAGGAAAAACTAAACTTTTAGTTATTATTAAACTGCAAACATGAAAAAACGTGCAGCACATCAAAAACGAAACAACGTGGGGGAGGGGGGTGTTGACCACCCCGCACCACCGCCAGCTGTGGTGCGCATTAAGTTTAGTTTTAGAGATTATTATGTTTATAGATTTTTTTTA